TGATGACCTCAGCAGGTTTGCTCTTTTAATCCATATCTTTGTCAAAAACAGAGATCATGCTTGTTTTTCTGGCTTAAATGTTTTAATTTCTCTGCATGAAAACCACTGCTGGGCTTTTGAAACTTAGAAGCAAGCAAAACCTTTTATCAAATGCAAAATGTTCAGTGTGTGTGTCAGGCACTGCTTACTACGATATTTGTTTGTGTTAATTCTGTTCAGTGTTAGCACAAAACTATTGGCATCTTGATAGGGAAAACTGCTGGCTTCCTAACTTCCTCAGTAATGCTGTCCTTATCTTGCTTGCTTGCTTACACAAAGTTCAGATTTTGAGGGAGGTGAGCATCTTTTTCTCTTGGAACTTTAAAGTTCAGACTGAGCTGTTCTGCTCATGAAATTAACTAAGATAAAGCATACATGTTTCTTGTTCAGAATTCTCCAATGCAAAAGAGTGGTGTTACTTGCTGTAGCTGGCAAATACCTGCGATAGGTTGAATTTACAGTAGCACTATCACGACTTGCAATGGCAAAATTTTCTGTGCATATTATATTATTCAGATGCTTAGCTCCAATCTCACATGGTGTACTAAGATGTAGTATATACAATTGTCACATTACATAATGCAACATATTGAAGACAGGCTTCTGCTCGCTTAGGAGAATACTCTCGCCTTTTGGTCTCTGTCAGCCCTCTGTGCCCTCCAGGGTTTCGGGAGAGATGGCTGCACAGAGAGGAGGAATCTACTCAGCTGATGGGTGACAAATACAATTAGTTGTTACCACATAGCTGCTCCTAAGTTTGGAATCACTAGATTCATCCCAGAGTTTAAAGATCAGTGGATTCCCTACCTCTTTTTCTTATCTTCCCTGTTCTAGAACAGCACAATGATTGGGTGCTATCTAAAAGTTTTTATCATTGGTAGAAAACAGTCCTTCCTCTAGAAATGTATTCTCTTCACTCTGTAGCATTTTTCAAAGTGAGCCTACAATAAAAAAAAAAAACTTGTTAGAAAATTTCACTTGGTGTTGGAACGGACTGTAACTAAAGGGCATCTAAGCCAAAGGGAAGGCACTACATTTCCCTCACGGCAGGTTCACATCCTATACTAGGAGTTTTCGTCTTCCTCTTGTTCTATCAGGCTTAGCCTAAGCCAACCTGGCAGCTATTTTCATCCTTCACTCTGCATGTTGAGATTGTTGGCTTGGCTTACCCTTGATCACAATGTTTATTTCACTTAGTTTGGTTTACTTTTTAAAATTCCCTCTCACAACCTGCCTTCCTCCTTTCTAAAAGAGAGGTACAGAAAGCTAAGGCAAATAACCACCACCTGATAGTAAAACATTGAAGTACACAGGTAGTATCAATTCTCCTGTCCAGTAGAATTCTGTACAGGTCAAAAGCTTTCAATACAGACAGTGGTAGAGGCTGTGCAGATAAAGGAGAGATTCTGTAACCAGTTTTATGCTTGTACTCTTCTAGCATTCATTCTGTAGCAGTAAAATTACAAATTTTCTTTTAACACCTAATGCCATGCTAGTGTTACAGAAAGAACTGAAGACTTTTTGTTATTGTACTGTCTTGATCCATTTAAACTTGTGTTTCTGTTTTTCAAAATTCAACTTCACACTTTAGTAACTTTTTGTAAAAAAAACAAACTTCTTATGTGCTCGCTCAAGTCTGGACTGTTCCAAATTTTCAGGTAGTAGCTTCTGCTATGGAAGCTTTTTTTTTATTACGCAGAGTGCTACATTATCATGGCTGCCTTTGCTCTGTCCCTCACTGAGATTTGGGGGAAAGCAATCTCAAGAAACTGCCAACACTTTTCCGGCATTAGGAGGGGAAAAGGGCAGAGGAGAAAGAGCCCTTTAAATGTTCCCCTCCTGAAATTGTTTTATTTGAAATAAATTGTGAATTTCTAATTTTAATTAAGTGTTCTGTGGTGTTTACTCTGGTTATGTTTTCATATTTATGTGATCTCCATGTTTGAAACAAAATGACATTAATAGAGCAGGAAAAAGAATCGCAATTAAAAAATGTTCAAGTAGCTTGAATATTTTCCCTATGAGAACAGGCTAAAAAGTTTGAGATTCCTTAGGTGGAAAGAAAATTATTATTTTTCAGTCAAGTATTTGTATTAGTTTATCAAAATATAAAATACAGAAATAAAAGAAAATGAAAATGGAGGAAAAAGAGAAGAGGGTAGAGGGGAAAAGAAACAGAAGCATTGATTTCTGACTCCTTTTAGCACAGTAGCTAAGGTAATATACATAGAACCTCAACTTTTTACTTTTATATAATATATGCTAGCCATTTCTATAACAGCAATCCTATCTAATCAGCAAAAATGAATGAAATATTCTTATTAAATACTTTGTTCATTACATAGTTGAATGTGCTAACAACAAAATCACACAAAATTATCAATGGAAATTAAATTTAGCAACCCACGGAGGTCTGGATTTGGAGTTACACTCAAAATTAAAGTGGAAAAAAGCACTACAGGCTGATCCAACTTTGATGTAATGTCCTTAAAACAAGTCAAAATGAGGTTCAGTAGGGTGTGTGGCCTCCACGTGCCTGTATGACCTCCCTACAATGCCTGGGCATGCTCCTGATGAGGTGGTAGGTGGTCTCCTGAGGGATCTCCTCCCACACTTGGACTAAAGCATCCCCCAACTCCTGGACAGTCTGGTGCAATGTGGGGTTGGTGGATGGAGCGAGACATGATGTTCCAGATGTGCTCAGTTGGATTCAGGTCTGGAGAACGGGTGGGCCAGTCCATAGCATCAATGCCTTCATCTTGCAGGAACTGCTGACACACTCCAGCCACATGAGGTCTAGCATTGTCTTGCATTAGGAGGAACCCAGGGCCAACTGCATCAGCATATGGTCTCACAAGGGGTCTGAGGATCTCATCTCGGTACCTAATGGCAGTCAAGCTATCTCTGGCGAGCACGTGGAAGGCTGTGCGGCCCCCTAAAGAAATGCCACCCCACACCATTACTGACCCACTGCCAAACCGGTCATGCTGGAGGATGTTGCAGGCAGCAGAATGTTCTCCACGGTGTCTCCAGTCCCTGTCACGCACATGTGCTCAGTGTGAACCTGCTTTCATCTGTGAAAAGCACAGGGCGCCAGTGGCGAATTTGCCAATCTTGGTGTTCTCTGGTAAATGCCAAATGTCCTGCATGGTGTTGGGCTGTAGGCACAACCCCCACCTGTGGACGTTGGGCCCTCATACCACCCTCATGGAGTCTGTTTCTGACCGTTTGAGCAGCCACATGCACATTTGTGGCCCGCTGGAGGTCATTTTGCAGGGCTCTGGCAGTGCTCCTCCTGCCCCTCCTTGCACAAAGGCGGAGGTAGCGGTCCTGATGCTGGGTTGTTGCCCTCCTATGGCCTCCTCCACGTCTCCTGATATACTGGCCTGCCTCCTGGTAGTGCCTTCATGCTCTGGACACTATGCTGACAGACACAGCAAACCTTGCCACAGCTTGCATTGATGTGCCATCCTGGATGAGCTGCACTACCTGAGCCACTTGTGTGGGTTGTAGACTCCGTCTCATGCTACCACTAGAGTGAAAGTACCGCCAGCATTCAAAAGTGACCAAGCCATCAGCCAGAAAGCATAGGAACTGAGAAGTGGTCTGTGGTCACCACCTGCAGAACCACTCCTTTATTGGGGATCTCTTGCTAACTGCCTGTGCTTTCCACCTGTTGTCTATTCCATTTGCACAACAGCATGTGAAATGGATTGTCAGTCAGTGTTGCTACCTAAGTGGACAGTTTGATTTCACAGAAGTGTGATTGACTTGGAGTTACATTGTGTTGTTTAAGTGTTCACTTTATTTTTTTGAGCAGTGTATAAGCGGGGTTTAAATGTGAAATTACGCATGAAAACCAGTTGTGTGCCTTTTGACCAGTCACTCACTCACAGGCCAAGTTGCCATAGAGGGGATGGTTCTGGGGAAAATGAGAAGGAATACAGGTTGTCTTCAACTTGCAACCATTCATGTAGGGACACTATAAAAAATAATTCACTATAAAATATAATTTCTATTTTCCACACGTATGACTATTGCAGCCTGGTCATATGATCAAAATTTGGATGCTTGGCAACTGGCATGAATTTATGAGTGTCCCATGGTCACATTTTCACCTTTTGCAACCTGACAAAGTAATTGGGACAACCAGATTCATTAAACAATCATGTTACTAACTTAACTGCAATGCTAACTTAACAACTGTGGCAAGAAAGATAGTGAAATGGGGCAAAACTCTCAGTATCACAAATTCTGGGCTCAATTGTGGTTGTAAGTCGAGGACTACCTGTATTATTAATTCCTAGTGTTACTTATATAGGCAGGATAAAAATCTAATAAATATTGCAGTCAGCGACACGGTACTAGTTAGCAAGAAGAAATCAGATGCAATGTAAACAGCAGTAACTTAAAAAGATTCTGCCAGCCCAGATATTGTAAGCACAGACTGAGTCTTAAAAATTACCATTTTGACATTTTATGATGAACAAACTCTTCAAAAGCACACTAGAGATTAGTTTAAGTTTTTGCCGTTTTTGCTTTTTTGCCAGAAGTTTGCTTTAGAGATTGAAAGATAACGCCGGAGGCCTTTTGCCCTTACTAAAAATGGTTCCCGATTCTGAGCATGAAACCGAGGACACCCTATTCAAAAATGGCTTGCTATGCTACGGGTAATGAAGGAACGAGATCGACTGTCGAGTTATTGGCGCTAAAATGGCTGTTTCTAGGCGGATAAAATCTCAGCCTTCAAGGCACGGCAGCCTCTTCCTGTCCGAGTTCGTCTCGCACCGCGGGTCGGACCACATCTCCTTCAATCTCGGCCGGTTGGACCGGAGAGCCGCAGCCACTCTCGCTTCCTGTGCGTGGTGACTTCACGCCGTAGCGTGATGTTCGGAGAAGAGTTTCCCAGCCGCGCTCGCGCGTGGTTGCCGTGGTAACGCTTCATCGAGCCTCGGCCTAGGATGGCTGCGGCGGCGGGGGCAGCTGTGGCGGCGGCGACGGCCGAGCCGGACGACGGGCCTCTCTTGCCAGGCCCTCCCGTGGGACGACGGGCCGTCTGCTCCCGACCCTACTTCGTCGTGCTGATGGTGTTCGCGCATCTCTACGTGATCAACGTGCTGGGCTTGCTGCTCTTCGTGCATATCAGCTCCGACGATGGTGGGGAGCCGGAGCCGAGGAAAGAGGCTCAGCCTGGCCCCGTCCAGGATGCGCCCCCCGTCCTACCCGTTTCTGCGGGCAACTTGGACCCTCAGGCTCTGCCTCGCCTGCAGGGCATTAAGGCAAGCGCTTTTCCCCTGGGTTTCGGGAGGGGAGGGGAGGCGAGGAAGGGAGTGGGGGTCGTGGCTGCTTTTGCAGGGACTCTTTTTAGCAATAGCAATAGTACATAAGCGCACCAACGTGCCTACCGTCCCTGTTCTACTCTTTTTTTTTTCCTTATATGTATCCATTTCATGTATTCATAACTATGTTTATACTTATACCTGTTACCTTATAATCGCTTACATACCGCTTCACAGTGCTTTTTACAGCCCCCCTCTAAGCGGTTTACAGAGTCAGCCTATTTCCCCCAACACTCTGGGTCCTCATTTTACCGAACTTGGAAGGATGGAAGGCTGAGTCAACCTTGAGCCTGGTGAGATTTGAACTGCCAAATTGCAGGCAGCGGGAAATCAGCAGAAGTAACCTGCAGTACTGCACTGTAACCGCTGCGCCACCTTTTGTCAGTTTTTGCTCAAAGTAAAGTTTTTTTTAAGTGGGGAGAAGCCAGTCCCCCACCTCAGAGGAGCAGGACTGAGTCCAAGCTTTCCTCCGTCAGGTGACTGTGGCCGCTTGTCTTTTGAAGTCTGTATCCCCTCCATCCTGGGCTATCATGTTCCCCAGTCACCCCAATGAGAGAGGCAGTCTTAAAACTATAGCATTTGAAAGGTGTCTGTTTGGAGAAAGCCTCCTAGCATATTTCCTATAGTCATCCATTTGCTATCTCACATTGTGATCATAGTGCAGGGAGTCCTCGACTTACAACGGTTCTAAACTTGTTTTCCTACTGGCTAAAAGAAGCATCGTTTGTGTTATAAGCTGCCACGAACAGCTCCACTATTCTGGCATTCTCCAAAGATTCTTTGCAAATGTTTCAACATGGGGTCTTAATCAGCACGGAAAGTATGTTGTGTGCATAAACAAACTATCAGTATTGTTTATTTCATTTCCATCTTCATTCCCGGCAGTACTTAACAAACTTTTACATCAGGAATATTTTATCAAATTCATACATTGTTCATATCCAGTGAAAAGAGTTTAAATTTATGCTTATTTTTAGGCATGCTGGTGTTTGTGTATCTTTTTTATAGTTTAATTAAACATGCTAATGCTCAATTGTGTCCTGTCTGAAAAGCTTAAAGTTTTCTGATGACGTGAAAGTTTTTGACCAAATCACAACCATAACTCTTTTAACATGTGTGTGACATAATTCTATATAAAGATTTAAATCAGTTAATTCATTACTTTACTGTCTTTTAAAGGTGGGCCATAAACAGAAGTTGCAACTGGTTCCTAACAAAATCCATGTTATGAAAACTCTCAGCTTGAAACCACTTCTTTTTGGTAAGAAATAGAAGATGTTTAAAATCCTATTCTAAGTTCCAGGAGCAATCCATTTTTCGGTCTGGCATATTTATAAATAGTGTTATCTTGGTAAAACCAGCACATGGTTATCTTTTGTTTCTCTTGGTCATAGAATCAACTGAGGTCTTCAAAGTGACTATAGCTGATAATCGCTTTTTTAAAAAATATGTATATATGTTTATATTTCCCAGCCTCTTTGTACTGCAGCAACTTCCAGCTTGTGTTTTAAATGTCGCCTGCCAGGTTTTTGAAATTCTGAAGCAAAGACAAAGACTCTGTTTTCTGTAACATTTTAACTTCTTTATGTGTAAGAAGGTTAGGAGCAATTGCTGACCTTCTTTTACATACTGGAATATTGTTCTTTTTCATTACTTAATCCCTATCAATAAGAAAGAAAAGAAAGGGAAAAAAAGATCCACTTTTCTTGAACTCTGATCCAGTTACATCAATTGTAGATCATTGTTTTATTGAATTAAAACAATACCTCAACAATGGTTTCAGTAAAAGAACTGGAAGCAATATAATCTAGATGGAGCTGGTGGCAAATAGGAGCTAGTGGCCAATATACTAAAATAACCTTTGAATGCAGTTAGATTACTTTTCTCTTTCTAATGAACAAATTTAATTTTGCCATCATTTATATCCTATGGTAGAATTCATTGATCCTGCTAATACTTTGGAAATTATTGCAAAAACTGGTATTTTGTAATAAGCATCCTTACTGTTAAAGATTCCATAAGAAAAAAAAGTTTAAAAGCAACAGAGAGGTGTTGCTTCAACATGCTCATTAATAACAGGAGTAACAGTAATAACCATAAGATAATACTATACAGCCAGTTTCCAAGATTCTCCAACATAGCCCCTTGCTTCTTGCAATATGTACTCTGAATCTTTTGAGAAACTTGCTGTCTAGATTGTGAGCTGCCATAATGGCTTGCTTGACACATTCCTTTCTACTTTCTCTCATACACATAGGGCCAAGATATTGTGAAGAAACAGTATAATTGGTATGTCTTTCTCCTCAGACTTCCATAAAGTTTAATAAAAATTAAAAATTGTCCTGTGCAATCTTGTATCTAGACTCGCATGCACAGTTAAAAACAGATTAAAGTCTTATTTTTTTAAAATTCTTCTCCAAAGATTTCTAAAACATGATTTCCTTAATCCTGTCTAAGGATTAATCCTGTCTTGATTTCCTCAAAAGTGAATTACAGAGTCTTTTAATACCCAAAAGCTCTCATTACTGTGCAGGAAAGGGTCTATTTAGGTAATCAACTACAAGTTTGTCCAATTTCAGCTGAATAATTAAAGTGTCCCATCACTACAGTTTTATGCTACCTTGAAAATCTGCAGGTTTTTTTTTCCAGAAAGCATCAGCCACATCTTTTTTGAATAAGTGACTGATGGCATTGCCTTTATTTGTTTTTTCAGCTTATTTTAACATCTCTACATATTGCTAAATTCATTCCCCCAGGTTTATTAAAATGGAAAATATAAAGAGGAACTAAGCAGTCTTGTTTATTTTAAAATAATTTTTTTAAAGCACATGCACACTGTTGGCATTGGATTCTAAATGCATAATATTTGTAATTTATGAATTCCAGAAAGATTTCCTTTTGTGTATATGAACATGAGTCTCTTCATGTAACTATAAAATAATATTCGAGCAAAACAAAATTAATTGTTTTCTAAAGGTAGAAGTTTGAGAAGTAGATGATGCCAAGGAAAAAGAGATTCATTAAGTGGTTCCTACTAAGTAATTTAGGCCCAACGTTTGTCATGTTTCCGTTACCAAACAACAGTTTGTAGATTTCAGTTCTGATTTCATGACTGAGCAGTTTAGGAATCTGGAAGAAATTCAGTAGTGAGGAAAACCACTGAGAGTGTCCCAAATGTGCAAATAACCCATGAATATTTATGTATATTTTATATTTCTTAACAATAACTCTTAATATCTCTCTCAGAGAAGGATTCTGAGCGGTGTACAATATGATCAATAAAATTATCTTTAAAATCAGAATTAATTTAATATTAAAAAGTTTTAAAATTATAAAAGCAACATTATAAAATAACAAAAGGTAAAACATTCCAAGTTGGAATGTAAGCAGTTGTTAATTGGGGGGGGGGGGGCAGTTCTCATGGAGCCAGCCAGCCCTATGGTTGTGTGAGCCTCTGTAACCCCCCATGCTGGCTGCAGAGCCAAGTTTTGATCCCTTTGTGGAAGGACAAGAGATTGGGGACTTTCTCACCTCTGAGGGCAGGGTGAATCACAATGCAGGGGCTACAGCAAAGAAGGCCCTATTCCTAGACCCTGCCAGTTGAGATCAAACTTGCTGGCATTTTCTCAGATATTGGAGATACGTCGTTTTCATTGATTCCTTGAATGCCCTCCTCAGTGAAAGTGAATTAAATTCTGTTTCCCTTAGATCAGGGGTGCCAAACATGCAGCATCACATTGTCACATGACATCATGACTTTCCTCCCTTCGCTAAAATGGATGGCCGTGGCCAGTGTGACACATCCCCAAGTTTGACACTCCTGCCTTAGATAATTCTAGACCATTTCCTGATGGAGATTATTGGCAATCTTGCTTCATAGGTAGGCTAGACTTAACAAGTATTGAAATGAGGCCTATCAAATTATCTTGAATGATGCCCACCTGAATACCTTACTGGTTGAGTCCTTGTGTTGTCTGCCTGCTTAGAGATTAATCATTTTTTAAAAACTGTTTTCCTCTCTCTTTGTTTAGGGGAAAAACAATATTAATTTAGAGACATTTGTTAGCTGGATCAATTGTTAAAGAAGTGTTGGAGTTTTGATTGCCAGACCTTTGTGAACTAGTTAGCAGAGTTTGGGTGTAAACTCGGGAAGTTTTATTTGCTTACAGGATGGAATTTGCAAGATTTCTATTTTAAGTATGAAGCAGAAAAGTAATTGTGGATAGTGGTATATATCTTATTTTGGTATGAAATTAATTTCTGTGAATTTTATCCCTGGTCTTTATTGAAAACATTGCCCTCTCTCTGCAGTTCAGTGAAAGCCTCTTAAAACGATTGTTTTCCTCATTACAATTTATTTAATCAATAGATGGCAGGAAAGTTAAGGACAATGCTCCTCTAAGAGAAGTTGCTTTCTTCAACTGTACTCTTTGCTATTTTTATTTCTTACGGAGTAGGTAACAGTTTCTGACCTCTGCTGGCTCAAAGGAAAAGCTGAGCCTAAACTTGTATCATAAATCATAGTTTATGGTTTAGTGTGATCTGTTTTCCTGATTTGTTCACAGATATTTAGGCAAAGTACCTTTTTTTAGGATTGAAAACTTTGGGAGGTATACTGAGATATTAGTTCCTTGACTCATAACTGGAACATTTGGACTCAACTATTTCCTGCCTTTATAAATCATCTTAAACATCAATATTGGCATTTGAGGAACTTTGGGTTTTTGAATGTTCACCTTTGGATGGGAAAATCATTTTCTTCTGCCTTTCTTCCATGTTAGAAATCCCAAATTTCCTGAGTGAAGATGAATGTAAATTAATTGTACATTTGGCTCAGCTGAAAGGACTACAGAAAAGCCAGATTTTGCCCACAGAAGATTATGAAGAAGCTATGGAAATGATAGATATCAGCCAGATGGATATCTTCAATCTGCTAGATCACAACCAGGATGGACAGCTGCAACTTAAGGAGGTACTCAGAATGGAATGATTGGCTATTAAGTGGGAAATATCAACCTCACTCAGGTATAAACCTGGGTACAAGATCCTGGGGCTTGCATTTGTGAGTTAGTATTGTATCTGAATGAAGTCATACTGTGTGAATATTGAGCATTTTGAAGTATGAAGCCTTAACTATCTTTAATGGTGTTTTAACATCCTGGTACAATTCTTCATGTCGTGTCATTGACAAATATATGAGGACAAATCTCCAAATAAAACAAATACCATGTTTTCCCAAAAATAAGCCCCTGTCTTATAATTTTTTTTGCCACCAAAAAGGGCACCAGGGTCATATTTTCAGGGGAGGTCATCCACTGACTAATCTCACTTTGTGCGCATCACCCCCAGCCTCCTTTTTGCTGTCAGAGGCCTTCAGGGACTTCTTCTGCAGCTGGCAAGGGATTTTCTGCAGCCGATAACAGAGCTCCAGATTGATCCGGAGCTTTGTTATCAGCTACAGAGGCCTTCAGGAAAGCCTTAGCAGCCTTGCCGACTGCAGAAGAAATGGGCCGGCAAGGCAGGTGTTGGGGTGTGCGAGCCCTGGTTACAACTGTCCAAACGTAAGTAGTAGAGCAGCTCCAGCCCCCCATCCCCACCCCAGCTTAATTTTTACCATGCACTCTGGACTAGGCAGGATCTTAATTAGGGCTTATTTTGGGGGTAGGGCTTATATTGGAAGTGTGTAAAAATCAAGCTAGGACTTAACGGATAACAGATAATCAGAGTTGGAAGGGACCTTATAGGTCATCAAGTCCAACCCCCCACCCAAGCAGGAGACCCTACACCCTTTCTGACAAATGGCAGTCCATTCTCTTCTTGAAGGTCTCAAGTGATGGCGCTCCCACAACTTCCAAGGGCAAAGCTGTTCCATTGGTTGATTGTTCTCACTGTCAGAAAGTTTCTTCTTACTTCCAGGTTAAATCTTTCCTTGTTCAGTTTCCATCCATTATTCCTTGTCTGGCCTACAGGCACTTTAGAAAATAGCTTGACCCCTTCTTCTCTGTGGCAGCCCCTCAAATATTGGAACACTGCTATCATGTCTCCCCTGGTCCTTTTCTTTACTAGACTAGCCAAGCCCAGTTCCTGTAACCATTCTTCACATGTTTTAGTCTCCAGTCCCCTAATCATCCTGGTTGCTCTTTTCTGTACTTTTTCTAGAGTCTCAACATCTTTTTTATAATGTGGTGACCAAAACTGGATGCAGTACTCTAGGTGTAGTCTTACTAAGGTTTTATAGAGTGGTATTAGTACCTCACTTGATCTTGATTGTATCCCTCTGTTAATGCAACTTAGGATTGCATTAGCTTTTTTGGCTGCTGCTGCACACTGCTGGCTCATATTTAGCTGGTTGTCCACTAAGACTCCAAGATCCCTCTCATAGTTACTGCTATTGAGCCTGGTTTCACCCAGTCTATACGTGTACTTTTGGTTTTTCTTGCCTAAGTGTATGACTTTACTTTTCTCTACATTGAATTTCATTTTATTAGATATGGCCCAGTGTTCTAGTCTGTCAAGATCCATCTGGATCTTGAGCATATCTTCTTGGGTGTTAGCTATTCCTGCCAGCTTAGTATCATCTGCAAATTTGGTAAGTTCCCCTTCTGTCCCCTCATCTAAGTCGTTAATGAAGATATTGAAGAGTACTGGGCCTAAGACGGAACCTTGTGGCACCCCACTGCTTACTTCCCTCCATGTAGACTTAGACCCATTAAGGACTACTCTTTGGTTTGCCAGCCAGTTGCGAGTCCATCTAGTGGTGGTGCTATCTATTCCCCTTTTTTCTAGCTTACGAAGAAGTAGGTTGTGGTCTACTTTGTCGAATGCCTTGCTGAAATCTAAATATATTATGTTTACATTATTTTGCTGGTCTACTAATTTAGTGACTGTGTTGAAGAATGAAATAAGATTGGTTTTGCATGATCTGTTCTTAACAAACTCGTGCTGACTGCTATTTATTACTTTCAGGGTAGGTCGTATTTTCGGGGAAACAGGGTACTAGAAAAAAATTGTTTCTGTCTACAAAAATTGTGGCCCTTTAAATATGCTGGGATCGAGCGCAATCAGAAATATAGATGCTTCATCAATGATCTGCTAATAGCATTTACCAATTTTTGAATTAGTAGATTCTGCTAATGCTTCTTGATTAAATGCATAACTCATCTGTAATAGTAAGCTCATCTGTGCACTGTGTTTCATTTGCAGGTGCTGACACATACCCGCCTAGGAAATGGCAGGTGGATGACACCTGAGAGCATCCGGGAGATGTATGATGCAGTCAAAGCAGACCCAGATGGCAATGGTAAGACAGAATGGATGGTGCTTTTTAATGTACTCTGTAGCATTGTTCCCTTCCCCATTATTCTGTCATATTAGATTGGAACAAATATAAAAAAGTCATATCACAGTTAAGTATTAATATTAGAATCAAATCAAGGGTTAACAAAAACAGCCAAAGTTGTAACAATTAAAAAGTATGAAGCAACTTATATTTAATTTTATGGCCAATCAGACAGTGACAATCACCAATCACCACTTTACTTTTTAAACAGTTCAGCCCCAAATGATATCTCTGGTTCTAGGCACTGACACCTGTTTAAAAGGCAGAGAATAATCATTCTCTGTGATACTTTAACTTCAAATTTTGGATTTTTACTTGCATTCTCTTCTTTTAATTTCTGCTCTCCTACCCCCGCAACTTTTTGTTTGCTAAGACAAACATTAGATAAACATTCCTACTATTTAATAGACTTTCCCCTCCATCTATGTTAGAGCTGCCCAGTTAACTTATTGGGATCACCAGAGGATGGTTGGTTCCTGTGGTTCTGATGTGGCATACCTGCTGGCAGCATGTTTACACTGATCAGTCTCTGGCCTGACATGGGCATGTATGTTCTTTTCCTTCATTTTACTCAGGTGTTCTGAGTTTGGAAGAATTTAAACAATTGAACATTCGAGACTTCCACAAGTACATGGGTAGCCGAAAAGTGAAAATGAGCGATCTGGTGCGGAACAGCCAACATACATGGCTGTACCAAGGTGAGGGGGCACATCAGGTCATGCGCTCCATACGACAAAGGTAAATTTATCTCACTCAGCAGTTTTTACCAATTAGCCTTGCTGTTGGTTTGCTGATCAGTTTGGCCAAAATGTATAAACCAGTGCACGTAATGCAGCTACTTTTATTAGATGCCAAATGTATTATTATAAAGCACTAGAAATGGCATTTTGTTGGTTAATGTTATATAAAATATGAGAAATTGTACTTGCTAAAAACCTGAAATTACAGCATAGAGGGTAGAATTTCAAAAGAACATTTTTTTAATTAAATCTGGTCACTATGTTTATAAACAGTTTTCCCTAATAGATTGTGCTACATAAAATGCCTTTCTGGGTAACCATGTTGAATATGGTTACAAAGGATGTGTATATTTCTTTTCATTGCATATATATTCAGTGAAATACATACACACACACGCACATGCACACAAATACCCACTTATACACATCTTCCTGCATTTTGATAAATTTCTTTTTTTTTTACATTTATTTTATCTTTATTTTGAATATTTGAGCTAAAAAAAAAGCTTTGGAAAGAGTGATCCATACTTATTCAGATGAAACGGAGAAAGAGATTGATTAGAGTTTACAGCTCTTGAATTAAATGAGTTTTAGATGGTTTGGATATTTTCATTTAAATCTAATATCTTTACACCAGGTGTCTCAAACCCAAATGAATATTAGGCCATGTAAAGTGTGGAAAGTAGTGTGACGAAATGCAACAAATATTAAATGTTAATGTTAATAAAATGCATGACTAAATTAATATAAAACTTACAATTTATAATAATATAAATTACTTGACTTTATTAAAAGTTGATAAAAGCAAAAATATGTTTCCTACTGTAAATCGGTATTATTTTATTATTGATTATCAGATTTGTATAGCTGCTCACCTCATATGTATTATATTCGTGGGTCTAATCTCCAACCCATCTCTTGTCCCTTATCATACTGTTTTGTTGTTCTGTGTACACCCTGTTGTTACCAACTAGCGTGATGTCAAATGGTGATATCACCAGTATTGATCCTTCTGCATCCATTCAGGGCCATCACATAAAGTGCAGTGTCCTTGAATAAGATAAGACAACGAGGCAGGACAGGCTCCAGCATTGCCTTAAATTTTTATCACAGGCCACATAAAATAATTCAGCAGGGGCATACAGCTTACAAGCTGATGTTTATACTTTGCTCTTTTGAAGATACATGTAAAAAATATTTAAAAACAAATTTATGTTAACACTCACTGACTCACATCCTCCTTGGGTGCCTGATTTCCCCCACCAGCATCATACGACAAAAAATGTAACAAAATCTTAAAATGCCAAGCTAGAAAGACCTGCATATGTTCAGCATGATTTGCTCTTACTTAAAAATAACAATTGTGTGGTGAATTAAAATCACTTTGCCAGAAAATATTCTTGCTATAGCTCTACTGCCAATCCTCTTTGTTTCAGACTGTTTGTCTTAATATCCTTATGGAATGGTTGGATGGTGTTAAGCATGTTTATGGAGAAGATTTTAGCTGGTGTGTTTAGAATTGCAACATGAATGCACCTCCCTCTGTATTATTTTTTCCCCATGATTCTTTCTGAATAGTTTTAAATGCTTCCTTATTTCTTCATGAGTTTCTATCTTCCATTTGTGTCTTGAGCAAGATTTTTTTGTATGGGAATGGATGCAGATGATCAGGGCCAGCATTGTGAACAGAGTGTTTTTTGAAACAACTCTGCCTCCACCAGTATGACCCTTTTCAATTAACTATTTAAAAAGCCCTTTACAAATGTTCTAAATAACCTTGATGGTCTGATACTGGTTAGGGAATCTCAGTGGCTTGATGAAAATGTTTGTAGGAACCTGTTTACATTTTCTTTCCATCGGTATGCCTCTCTGCTTGTCTGCCTTTAGGGTAATTAACTTAACCCATCTGCCACCAGAGATTGTGGAGCACAGCGAACCGATGCAGGTAGTCCGCTATGACCAGGGAGGGCATTACCATGCTCATATGGATAGTGGACCAGTGTTTCCTGAAACTGCCTGTAGTCACACCAAACTGATTGCCAATGAAAGTGCTCCCTTTGAGACATCTTGCCGGTAAGCCTAGAAACTGAAGATAGAATGGATTTCTTGGCTATCTTATAACAGTTTTCACCTGTTGCTTTTAGGATAGCAAGTATTGTTCTCTTTCTTACAGCTATGTGACAGTACTGTTCTACCTAAATAACGTGACGGGAGGAGGTGAAACCACTTTTCCTATTGCAGATAACAGGACTTATGAAGAGCTAGTAAGTTTGTCCTTCCTGCGCAGTATGTACTGGCTACGTCTATAAAATGTTAATTATTCATTTGGCTTATATCTCATATAAGTTCCCCAAGAAAAAAAATGACAGAAAAATTCAACTTGCAGAATAAAGAAAACTCAAAACAATTGCTTGATGATATTAATTAACATCCAAGCCATTCTTTTTCTGTTCCAGATAGGTACAGAAAAGCCTCTTCTGTAAAACATAGAAGTCGGACAGATTGGTAATGGGAAAGGTGCTCCCTAGATAATCAAGTTCTAAGCACTTTAGTGCTTTAAAAGTGAATGCCATAGCTATAAATGACACTTTGCCATTGCACATCTTTCAGTATAAAAATAGCAGACCAGCTATGTTGAGGTAATTCCCCGTTAGGAGAATGAGCACATACAGGGAGACGTATTTGAGAGGAGTGTTTGAATAATACACACACAGTACACAGATACACTGTACAGTAAATGTAGGGTTTTACTTCCAGAAACAGTAAATGTAGGGTTTTACTTCCAGAAACGTTAAGCAAAGTCCAAAATAGGCAGTCCAAAGTCATTCACAGGTAAATCAGTCAGTTTTTCAATCCAGGGATACTTCAGTAACAAAGTCCAGTGTCAAAAACAATTCAGTATCAGACTTACATTAAATCCAGTAATATCAGTCAATTAGAAGAAATGGAGCAACTGCAATACTTTCCTACAGAAGGAAACAGAGATACTCACTCAGACTCTCTTCTGAGACTAAGACTAAACAAACCAGGTTTCTGGCTCCATCTTATGGCAGTTTGAGAAACCACACCCAATTACAGTTTTTCATTTTCTTAAAGTTACAGTTTTAAAATGTTCATCCTGGTTTATATATTTCTAACCCAAATAGCTGTTAGGTGACTCATATTCCTAACAAGCTACACTATTTTATAGTCAATGCAACTGGCAGATGCTTTTTAAGGGTTAATCCTTTGAGGAGAATATTGCAAAAGATGAGATAGCTCAAAGCTGCCAGGTCAGTTGGCTAAGGAACAGTAGCAGATGGACCACCACCATAATTATATAGATCCATTTCTCTCAGTCATCAGTTGAGGATGAGGAATCACTCCTGGGACAGACTTGTGCTTTCAAAGACAATGCAATTGAGCAGCTTCATATAGATAGAAAGTGGCATGGAAACAAGATGGAACCCAGTCAGGTAGCCTAGGTCAGTTGAGAGATCCATAGCACCAATTTTAGAACATGGCCTAATAGAAAGGAATAGAACCACTGTAATACTATGTCAACAGTCTGTAATCCCACAGAAGGGTAACATGATTGGTGATATTGAAAGCTGGTGCAATACTCAAGAGAGGTCTATACCCTCGCATCAAGTTTCCAGAATTATCAAGTCAAGGCAGTTTTATCAAGTCAAGACTACATATCCCAACCAGAAGCACAATTGAAATACAGTAGATAATATATATTATTCGGATACATGTGAGGTTTTTTCCCAGTCACTTTTCCTAAAAAATGATTCACATTACTTCCCAGATTAAAAAAGGGTTTTCAGCCTCCTATTGCTTCTTCAGCAAGAGGGAACATTTTACCCATAAGTATTGTCCCAGAACAGTTTACAACAGACTAAAATCGAACAAAAAAAAAAAAATAGAACTCTAAACTGACGTTAATTTGCAATTCCAGTAGATACCAGGAATTCTCCACTGGATAGTGGAGGTGTTTACTCTGAATAACCATGCAAAATAGGATGATGGATGTCAGCTATTTAAATTTTATTTGGGCGTGTTCTATAGCAAGGGGCTTAGCATATATTACTTGTAATAAGAAAAAAAGCTGCTGGCCAATAAATTAGGACCTTTTTTATTTAGTTGCTAATTCAACACCATGGACTTAGTTAAAATATCATGAGTTGTTTATTGCTGGTTTCATAGATACAGAGCTGTTTTAATGGGAGAACTCTATATAGGAGAATGAATAATGGTAATTGAAGAGATCCTTTTATACATTCCCTAATGAACATCCTTTCTTCAGTCTCTAATCCAGAATGACGTTGATCTACGTGATACTCGAAAGCACTGCGATAAGGGAAATCTACGTGTAAAACCTCTGCAAGGCACTGCTGTTTTCTGGTATAATTACTTGCCTGATGGGGAAGGTAAGTTTCTCCCTGGGGCAACCAGCTAGCAATCTTTGTATTTTTATTAATTTTATTTATTTATTAGATTGTTATCCCGCCCATCTCCCCTACAAGGTGACACTGAGTGGCTTTTATTTATCTTTGGCTGGCTATTTTGGAAAGCTTAGAGCTGTAGAAAAGACAGCTGCATTTGTGTGGAGCTGAACCCTGGAATCTTGTTTCTTGGCAGGCTGGGTTGGTGATATTGACGAATACTCCTTACACGGAGGCTGTTTGGTCACTGAAGGAACCAAGTGGATTGCCAACAATTGGATTAATGTTGATCCCAATAAGAGGCGACAGCTCCAGTTCCAGGAGGAAATGGCTCGATATATCAACAGTGAAAATGAGGACCAAAGCGAATGGACCGTGGACAAATCCTACAGCAATGTGCATGTAGAGCTGTAATGTTTGGAGATGCCTCTTGGTCGACTTGAAAGCACCTTTTTTGCACTAGCCATTTGCAGCTCTTCTATTCTCCCACGTTTCCCAATGATTATGTTTCTTCAGAGAATGTAGGGTTGCCTATCTAGGTAGATTGGGGAAAGGAAAAGCGGGGCACCTAATGCAGTCTGAGGGAAAAGGGATTATTTGGCGGGAAGGGACCGTAGCTGAGGGCATATTTTGATTTAATGGCTGGCTTTCCTTAAGGAGATTTTGAGTCTGTCCGTGAATCTTCCCCGTGACATATGCACTCTACCTTCAAGGTTCCTTATCCTCCTGAATTGTTCTGCTGGATGCCGTTTTCCTCTAGCTGGCTTTGTAACTATAATCTTGTAATCTGCCATCCTTTCCGTCTGTCCCAGATTCTTGGTCTTTTCAGGCAACGGACACATCTTACATAAGGCCAGTAAAACCCACATCAACAAAACGATTGCTGCATATTCTAGGTTGCTCTGTAGAGAGTGAAATGGTCACTCTTAGCCTGTATGGGAACAGATCAGTAAAGTGGTATAGAGGTTAAGAGGTTGGATGAAGACTAAGGAAACTCAAGTTCAGGTTCACGCTCTGCCTTGGAAGTTCATTGGGTGATTTTGGATCAATTTCTCTCAGCCCAACCTCCCTCTATGGGTGGCTATTGTGGGGATAAAATGAAGAGAGATTGGACTTGGGCTTTTGTACAAGTGGGGGGAATAATTCTAACCAGTACCATTTGACAGTGCAAAGTATATGTATTCAGAAGTAAGCAAACTCCCAAGTGAAAGTGTATCCGATTGCAGGCTTAAATCCAGACTTATGCAAAGGGGTCTTGGGCATGTTTATGTTCAAAGAACACGCAGGGATTAAAAGTACTAGAGGCCTTCCATGGGATGGTGTATGCTCATGATGGAAATTTTTCTCAGGGTTGGATATAGTTCTGAATTACTATTCGGAAATATTTATACCAATAATTATCAGGGAAGTAATGGAATAGTTAATATGTGCAATTGGAACGTGTGTTGTATGTGTTTGCAGTTGTTATTTCAGCCATTTTATTTGTGTGTTGAGAAGCTGTTTACCTACGAGAAGCCTTTTGTTCTGTTTAGTTTGCATAGTGGCATAATATTCCTCCTAGTAAGAGTAATATTCCTCTTAGAAGATAAATATGTATTTAGATATGCAGTGTGGAACCTGCAAGGTTCTCAGTTATGAATTAAAAAAAGTGTTCTGCAGGATTAGGTTTAAGGTATATGCAGATCACGTACCTTAGGCCTAATTATATTGTTTCTTATGAAACGAATAGCACTTTCCCACTGTTCCTCTGAAGTCAGTGAGATACTGTCTGTGAATGAGGGGCTGGATATAGCAGTCAAGGGTAAGAATATCTGGTAGACCAATCCAAAATGAATTTAGCTCCATTTTAAATCTGTCCAATAAGTTGTCTTGCTAAGCAACACCTTGGACAGTGAGCCACATTGTCTGGAATATACTTCCTAATTTTTTGTTCTGACAAAGAGCCCCCAAATAAAATACAGGCAGTCCTCATTTAGCAACTGGCCCTTTTAGCAATCGTTTGATGAAAAAGTAATGATCAATCTTCTCATTTACAGCCTTTGCAGGTCTGTGAAGCAATGGAAAGCTGAAGGAAGACCATGCAAACAATTGAGATTTCACTTAGTGACCGCTTTGCCTAACAGTTAAGTTGCTGGTCCAGTTGAGATGGCTGAACAAGGACTACCTGTAATCCTTTTGCCATAACAAAGGTTCTTTCCACATCTTATCCCTTGATGGCCCTTTTATGCACTTTTCCTAACTGTAAAATAAATTGGGGCGGAGGATGGGGTAAGACTAAGCAGTCTCAGTCGAAACCCGTGAGCTGCCATTCTCCACTTCCTCATTTATTGCCTTGAGTACAGGTAGTCTTCGACTTACAACCACAATTGAGCCTAACATTCCCAGGACTCTGCAACCGTCATAAATATGAATCAGTTGCCATGCACCTGAATTTGGATCACATGACCATGCGGATGCTGCAACGGTTGTGTGAAAAACGATCATGTCACTTTTTTCAGTGCCATTGTAACTTCAAATGGCCAGTAAATGAACTGTTTGTAAGTCGAGGATTATCTATACTGATATTTAAGTGTCAATAGTAAAAAGAAATGGCATTAAACCAGGAGAAGGTGGAATTTCTGTTGCACTGTATTACACCATAGGAGTACCGGTTTTGGCAAATGTTTTCTTTTTTTTTTTTTGTACAAAGGCTGGAATTAATTTCCATTTTTCCCTCTTACTCACTGGGGAGACTGAAAAAGGATTTCCACTTGTAGAATTCTTAGAGGAATTTGGATATCTTGGATATCAACTGCAGGCTTTGGTAATAGACATTATTAGTAGCTTGCTGCAGAGAACAGGAATGCTTTTGCTTTGGCCTAGTCGTTCACATTTAAATCACAATGAGCAAATTTCTCTCTTGTCCAGTTCAACAGAGCAAAGGTTGATTTTGACTGGAGAAAAGTGATATTGTAATGGGCCTTTTAGCCTGCTGAGAAAACGAAGCGTGTTTCCTATCTCCTGTTACATTTTGACAAAACTTCTATTTGGTGACTGGAAGAACATATTTTAAGACTCAATGTCGTGATTGCTATTTTGCTCTGGTGCCTCCATTGCAATAGGAACGGCATTAAGTGGGGAGGACATTTGCATGCTTCAAGACTTGCCCTTCCTACCTACAGCCTCACTGAGGCGAGACTCTGTTATTGTGATTGTTGCATAGGGAATCAATTTGTGTTTCTTCCAGTGTATTTCATTCCAAGCAATTAGAAGTAACCACCTCTAATTTTATTGGAGCTCTTCAGTGTTGCCTTAGAGAGTTGCATAGCATGTCTCCTAAGCCAAACATAGCCCAACCCATCATGTTATGTAATTTGGCATACCTTTGACAGCACTCTTGCTAGTCAATTTTTGTAGTCCCAAGCAGACAAAACCCAAACCCTGGGTGCTTAGTGTCACTTGGTGGAAAACTAGTTATGTAGCTCTCCTGTTCTGTTAGTGTGTTTGTGATCAGGTGAACAAATTGCAGAATTTCCCCAGATGATACCTGAAGGATCAATTTAAAAAACAGTGAAAAGTTCACTCCAACCCTCAGTAGTGTATTTCAAATGTAATGAATTTCAGCGCAAATTATTTCCATTAAAAATGTTTATGATTGCAGCTTTACTGTATTATAATGCTGTTGCCATTTTTCATCTGGGAAAAAATTAGCTGCTTAGTAACTTGTACCCTGAACCTTCTTGGGTTTTTAGATGTGGCCTTGATTCAAGAAATGTCACTGAACAGATAGTTTAATAAGTAATTGAAACATTTTAATTCCTTTTTAAGGCCCGTTTTAATGGCATCAACCTAGCATTCATTCATGGGTCCTGTTTTCACGACATACTTTTGAAATGTGAATAGGTTGAATCCAAAATGGACACCACCAGCTTCCCCATTTGATTTTTGTATGTGGTCTTTGGGATCTAATGTCATATGTGAGAGTTTTGAGAGGGACCATACCTCTGCCTGGGGCTTTTTTCAATTAGCAGAGACTATCCCAGAAAAAAAGTGTAGATATGTTATGTTAAGAGCCATCAGTAAGGTTGGATATGATGGCACTTTGTGACTACAGCCTACAAAAACAAAAACTCCTGCCAGAAATGTGTGAATGCTTTAAACTGCATGGCTTGAGAATAGCCTGGTTCTCTAGCTTTCAGGAATGTATAGGGTTTGTTGGGGCTCAACCACATGCAGTGAAGTGAGTGGCATTACAACACTGGTTTGTGTTATTGAATCATGTTTTTTTTAATTATCCAAAGGATTGTCTAGTATCCATAGAAAGACTTGAATGTCTCAGTAATTATAGCTAGTTTTTGAGTGATGTGGTTTTGCCAGTTCCGTATTTGTAGGTAACTGGTGAATACTGAGTCTTCTATTTTTATTTGTGTGTGTTTCCTACAATTCTGCATTTTGGATACTTTTTTCCCTTATTTAATATTTATTTAATTTATTGTGTCCCATGGACTGATGTCAGGCTGTCAGTCCTGCAAATAAATATTTGAAACCCATGTTCTTTGGATGTTCTGTTTTTAATCATACGTGTAACAGTCTCCACATATATAAAATATTTTATTCTCTAAAGAGGATCAATAAAAATAGCCCTATTAATGTGGACATTCCTCAACTTATAAGCAATTTCTTCTATCTGGTGCAATGATTGTTTTCCTGTAATATTAACATTTATATCACAATTTATCTTTAAATTAGCAGTTACACTTGCTTTTTTATTTTTTATTTTTATTTTTTTACACATACAAACCGGTAATGCTATAGGCAGAAAATCAATGTAATGCAGTATCTAAGATGAATGTAGAGATCATCTTACACTGAGGAAAATAAAAGGAAAATGACAGAACGGCATAGAGATTATTAATCTGTTAACAAAAATAAACGGAAAATGATTGTTAGTAAAATTAATCTTTTTGAAACTAAATACATTAGTATCCTGTTCACACATGAAAAGGTTTAATATTCTATAAAAAATACTTTACTTTCCTGTTTCAAAAGCATTTAAAATTTACTTCTTATTATAGAACAATTAAGGTCAAGAAAATGGTGGTATTTTTACAACCTTCAGACCGTTTCCATAACAGTAAAAATCCTTCATTAAAAAAATTGTTTTAAATCTCTAGATAAAATGAATATTGTTAAAATTAACAATACGCCTTGGTGGTACGGTGGTTAGAGTGCAGTACTGGAGGGTAATTCTGCTGACTGCCAGGAATTCGGTCAAGGTTGATTCAGCCTTCCCTCTTTCTGAGGTTGGTAAAATGAGGACCCAGATTATTGGGGACAATATGCTGACTAAACTGCTTAGAGAGGGCTGTAAAGCACATGGAAGCGGTATATAAATCTAAGTGCTATTAAAGTACAGAAGATATAAATAGGAACTGTACACAGAATCTGAAAACTGATCCATATTCAGAGAAAAAAATACCCAGGAATAAAAGTCTATCCTATTTTATTTATGAACCAATAGTTTGATTTTTTTTCCTCTCTCTCTGAAAACTCAAAAAAATTTCAAATGACTTTTTAAATTCTTCTAGATGCCCATAAGCAATTGAATCAACCTTCTGACAATCTGAATGTTTGGAAGAAGGGAGGAAAGGAATTAGCGGAGGTGTCAGCATCTTACTCTTTTGCCCTCTCTGCAAGATGCTAGTTTAGACCACGGCATCCAGCTCTTCTAGCTGCATAACAGTCTTTCCTGGGATACCACATTGTCACGCTTTCCAGCTATAGTAGGAACTGGGGCCTACAGCTCCCCTTGTCCTGGCTCTTCTGGCTGGAGAACACGAGAGCTATAATCAAACAGATCTGGAGGGAACCAAACGGAGAACCTAACTGCTTGGAGCTTAGCTTAATGGGAAGGCCCAGGTCAATAGGTTGCTTATGTTACGTACTGCAATAGCTCTGATGGAGCCCATCTCTGCCTCTCAATTGCAAAGGCCACTGAACAAAGCAGGGAAGGGAAGAGATAGCTTCATTGTGCCAGCAAAGCCAGGAACTCAGCTGAGAGCTGGGTGGTAGGCACGGCACAGCCTCTTCTGTTGGCTGGACCATCAGAGCAGATGAGTGCAGTTCTCTCCGGGGTGCAGAGCCGGTGGTCTGCCTGCCTTTCCACAGACCATTTCACCAAATTGGGCTGCCAAAATCCAAAGGACCCTAGGCAGCAGCAAACATTTTTTAAAAAAAACATTGGTGCCTTATACTGCTGCAGTGGTGCTATTCTACTGGTTCGGCCCAGTTCTGGTGTACCGGTCGTGCCAAAGATCAGCGGAGAACGAACCGGTTCTCTCCAATGTTCTGCTGTTGGGCCCGCTGGCCTGCCCACCGGGGTTCCCATACTGACCTTTATTTCCTGCTTTTGAAGCCCAGCTGTGTTGCGCAGCAGAGCAGATTGCCGCGCGTCAGCTGCTGAAACGACAGAGTGCAGGATTGCAGGAGATGAATTGGAAAGCCGCTGCACGTGTGCAAAGTGTGCATTTGGCGCAAGCGTGCAAAGTGTGTGCACACGCACAAAGCGCCCCACCAAGCCATGCCCACCAAAACAGTGGTAAACTATTTTGAAACGCACCACTGACTGGCTATCTGGATTTTGATTGTTCAGATAATTATAACCCTATTATATCAGACACGGTGGGACCAAGGGAAGACCTCTGCCCCAAAGCAGTCCAGAACAATGCAACTACACTGCTTCTCAACGTTGGCAACTTTAAGGTGTGTGGACCTCAATTCCCAGCCAGCTTTGCTTTGCTGGCTGGGCAATTCTGGGAACTGAAGTCCAAACATAAAATATATATATGGTATTCAACTTTGTTCGGGTATTTTCCCACATCATTATAGTGGTGCTTTTAAAGTTGTAGCAACGTTTCGGCAGAATCTCATCTGCCATCATCAGGCTTCTGTATAGTGATGATGGCAGATGAGATTCTGCCGAAAGGTTGTGTGTGTGTGTGTATATTTCTTACACACATAATTATCATTCTTTTTCACCTTATGTATTCTGCACAAATGAGTTCCATACAGTATTTCATTATATTTGACCAAATAAAGTCTAATAAATTTTAAAGACAGTAGTGGATTGTATAAATATAACTGTTTGACAAAAGCTAACATTTTCAGAGGATAATATTCTCTTGAATAACATGCTTAATGCATGGAATTAGAGAACTGGACAAGTAATTGCTTGTAAAGTTTTTTTTTAAATCTCCATACCCTAATTATGGCCAAAAGATTGATATTGCAGCATTGGTGGTGCAGGCCGCTTCTGCCAGCTGCTTGCAATTTTGGCAGTTCAAATCCCACCAGGCTCAAGGTGGACTCCGCCTTCCATCCTTCCAAGGTGGGTAAAATGAGGACCCAGATTGGTCCTCCTCCCCCAAGTGGTCCTCCTCCC